TTAATGTCTGAAATAATTTAGTTTAAAAAAAAACAGTAATTAATTCTTTTTTTTTAACCTTTTTTTAGACAGCAAATATTTGTAAAATGTGAAAATGAACTAAATGGAAAAGCGAGAAAAAGCATTCTCATATCCTGAGATTGTTTTTTTTTAATAGTTGCCAATTGGTATTTGTTTTTTGTTCTACAACATTTTTACATTATATTATTTACAGGGGTGCCACTTTTCCGGGATATCCCGGATTTCCGGATTCGAGAATCATATTTTTTTCCCTTTCCGGATTCGCAAGATTTGAGTTTGAAAATTTCCGGGTTTGCAGTTTAAAAAAAAAATTTAGATCGTTTTAAGCTTGAAAATTTTGGCATTGTAAAAATTGTTTTTATCATCAACACTCCCGCTAATAGCCTTTTCCGAAAAAAATGAATAGTAAATGACGTCAGCAACAATCTCACGCGTGCGCCAAGGACCAAATAAAAATCAGCTGTATCAGATGGGTGAGGCTGTAGACGAAACTTTTTGATGTCATTCGTGGTGTGGCTGTCTGGCTACTTTTTATGACGATATGGGTTGGGGGTAAAACTCGTATTATTTACGTGATGTCATCAATGGGATACCGCTAGGCTGTGTAATAAAACAACTAAATTCTTCAATTACTAGATCTAGCTCACTAGCATCGCCGATAGTCTTTTAAAAAAAAACAAAGATTTTGCTCCGATAAAAAAAAAATATTTTTTTTTTGTATTTGGTATTACAAAAAGAAAAGAAAAAATCTATTTGGAGGACTATTTTATGTATGAAATAGAACTGTGCTGTTTTCACTCAACTTTACCGTCATTTTTTACCACCTCGTACCCGCTTCTTCAAGGTCGCGCTGACCGTAAGACCTACGTCACGAGACCACGTGAACACAGTCTGAGTCGTGTCTCTCGGTCAAGGCAGTTCTACAAGTACTAGCGCTGTTTTATTTTAACGTGGTTATTTTTAATTCAAGAAAAAAAATTAGATCTGCATCGTTTTATATCAGTAAAAAAATATGTAGGCCTGCTATAATTCAGTTATACGATCTAGCAGGGTCTACATCTAATTTTTTTTTTTTACTTTGGTAAAACGTCATTGAAATGTTTAAACAACCTTGAAAATAGCCGCTATCACTGCCCCCCCCCCCCCCCCCCCCCCAACCGCTTGTAAAAAAAAAAATCAGCTTTTCACTTAGTCGGGCGGCTACATCTCTGACATGAGTATTACTAGCGTAGTTACTTCTAAAATTATTTTTAGAATTAACTTAATTCTGTTATTCCGCGATATGAACTTAAAACTTCCACAATATTTCTTCACGTCATCATGTATATCAAAGGTGGGGGCATTGGGGTCGTTCATAAATGACGTCACACTCGTAGGGGGAGGGGGTCCGTAATTTTGTCATGAGGGGGAGGGGTTTAGATGGTGTGACATCACACTTTTGCATTATCGAAAAGCTATGTTAGAAAACTAATTTTAGCCGTTATTTCGCGTTTTAGAATATTGTTTCAATAAAGTGTAGTAGGAATTGATTAAAATACTCTATGTTGACAGAGGTCAGACAAGATTTTTTGAAAAATATCTTATTTTAAGAACAATTCGACTGCAATTTTTAGGGGGGGGGGGGTGTAGGTTGAGGTGTGACGTCATTTTAGAGGGCGGGGTCTGGCTTTTTGTGACGATATGTGACCGAGGTGAGGTGGGAGGTAAAAATCGTCAAAAAAGCGTGACATCATTTATGGATGACCCCATTGGTGTTGATTGGGAAAACAGGGTTTAAGGTTTTTGTTGTGGCTGTTAATAATTAAAGCCTTGAATAGCTACAGTAAGTCAACCCTGTATTTTAATACAGTGGCAATCTTATTAGGGGTCTGCATATAGTGTGCTTATTATTCAATAACAAGACATAGAGGTTAGCAAAATATTTGTTACTTAACAGTTGGCTGACTGACACTTTAAATCAAGCTAGGAAGTTCTAAAAAATTAAATAGTTATGTTATAAAAGCTGTCTGGGGGGGGGGGGGGGGAGTTCTACAATAGCACATTATGGGGTAGGCCTAGAGATGGGATTAACATTGTAAACTAATTTTGTTGTAAGCACAATCCTTTAAAGATTAATTTTTATTTGAAGCTTGTTACAAAGAAAATAAATCCATTTTAAAGACATGTAAATTGAACATAATAATATATGAATCAAATGTCTAAAAAAATAATGAAATAAACAGTCCATTTTATTTTGAAATTCCGCGCGGAATTAAGTTTCAGGGTTTCAAAAATTTCAAATTTTAGTTTCAGGATTGGTAAAATTTTGGGATTCATTTTCAGGATTCACTTAAAAAATGAGTGGCACCCCTGTATTTATCATGATTTATACTGGTGTGATTGTTGAGCTTACACTGCTCACTCGAAAGTCTCAAGCTGTTCAGATCCAGGGATCAAGTCTGTAGGACATCCCTGAGTACTCTCAGCTCTTATGGGTACCTGGATCACGTTTGGGAAACCAAGGCCGCTGGGCAAAGTATTTACCACATTATCCTTCTGTAAGCTGTGGTAGTTGAAACAGAAGAACTCCACTTCATCTGCTTAAATGTCTAGGGCACAAATGGGGAAAAGATATTAATTTTTAAAACAATCTCTTCTTGTTTGAGAAATATCTATATATGAATTATATGTAATTCTCGTCTGGGAGCCCTAGAAAACATGCTGTAAGCGCGCCTTGCAGTCCCCTCTCTTCTTGACTAGGCATAAATCAACCTCCCCCACCCCCACATGGTCTGGTGAGCTGTGGTTCACGCTAAATGTTTACAATTATAGAGCCGGGTTTAGTGACTCCTATTAGAGGCAGATAATTTAGTTTGAAACTATTTTAAACTTAGGGGAGGTAATTAAGAGGAGGCTGCTTTCACGGGGGGGGGGGGGGGGAGGAGTAGGGTAGGGGTTGTGGGAAATGAGGGGGGGGGGGGTTATCGTCCTTAATGACCAACTGATAGTATTTTAAAGCAAATATTTTCAGTGGCAGCATTGGTACTGTCGAATTCACAAATTATGAATTACTGAAAAGTAGAAATAAACAACTAAATAGCGGTGTATGATACGCAGCGGGTCGGCTCGTATTTTATAATAGTAATTGGTCAGAACGCAATGAGCCCAAAACCGATGAAGTGCCTAAAATAATTCCTTAAAATCAATGTTATCCATTGGTATTTTTTGTTGTTTTTAACCTATTTAATTTTATTATTTTTGGCCGACAAAATTATTTTTGAAAAATTTCTTTGTGCCTTGATAAGTAGATCTTAATAAAATATGAATGGAAAAAAGTTTGTTTCTTCATATTTTCAATTTTGAAGATTTGTGAAGAGAATATTATTGAAGATTTATAGTACTGTTGGAATCAGATAGAAAAAAAAAACAGTTGATTTTGTCATAATTTTTTGCTGCTCTGATTAGGTATGCAATGGATAGCCCAGTCCAATCTTTGATGTCTGCCATCTTATGTAATGTTGTCTTTGCACGGTGCCCTGCAGTTTTGTTTTGGATAGGATGATGGCTCGTGTTGCATGCCCATGCCAACTTAGTTTCCTTTGACTACTATGCTTAGTGCTTTCTAAAAGGGACCAACCAGATTATGGACATTTAATTTATTACGTCCTCTCTCTATGAGATCCCTCCTTAGCCTGGATTTGTCTCTGGAGGTCTGCAATGAGGGACCTTTCCTCACATCCACAGAGTAAAATGTTTCTTTTCTAAACGAGTTCTGCTGTTGTTTGTGCAAGTATTTCTTGATTCATTCCCTAATCAGATAGGATGACAGCAAGGTACTTGAATGAACTAACTCCAATCTTTGGCCATTTACCTTTATGTCTTCTACTGTACCTTTTGGGTTGTTGGTCATGGTCTACATCTTATCTGTACTAATTCCCATGCCATGCTGTTGATGTTTTGTCTAATTGCTCTACTAATTCTATCAACTAGCATTCATCAGTTGGTAATAATTGGTCTGCCAGCATGTTCTTCCAAGGCTTCAGTCATAATCCTTTTTTAAGTAAATAGATGTTAATAAGGATGGGAGAGAGCAAGCAGCCATGCCTGTTGTTGTTCTTCTTCTTCGTTTTTAATTATTAGTGTTGAAGGGTGATCGAGATTTATCTGCCAGTGGGTTTGAACTTGAGACTTTGTTCGAATTTATCAACCATGAGCTTTTTGCCGACTCGACCACGCCTCCAACACAATTAAGCGTTACATGTCAACTGGTTATGCGCCATTGAGGCCATTGACTCCGATTTCAGCCTGCTTTTCTTTTTGGATTTGCTTCCATAGTCTTTGTCCAACCAAGAACAAACTACAAGGCAGCAGTTGTTTAATTTTGGAGTTGTCTCTCCTAGAAGAGTGGCTGTCCCCAGCTAACGAGCCTCATCTGCCCGAGGGTTCGATCTCGAGACTTTTCGGTTTAGCAACCATGAGCTTTACCGACTCGATCACGCCGACCCCCTAAATCATTTGCCTACAGTGTTGTTGAAAATTAGTGTGCTGGTTGCTCTCTGTTAGTAATTCTTGATAATTTCTTTTATTTTTGCACTGATGTTGTATTTGTGCGTGATACTCTGTCATCTGCCTTCTCAAACTTAAAGTCTTTAAAAAATACAATTTAGTTTCATTAATGCTTTACAGAATGTATTTTTACATTGTCACTAAATACTTCTTATAAATTCTTTCTTTGTTTTGTATTTGAAATGAAGATGTGCCCTGATCACTTCAACCTATATTGTTATATATATTCATTTTATTTGTTTTAGCACTTGGTGTTCTATAATTTGTTTGCTTGAGAATCTCACGACTTTTGTTTGCACCTCACCTTAAAGTATTTAAAAAGGTGTAGAATCCTAGGAATTTGAATTTGCTGCCTCATTTTATTTGCATGGATGTTCAATGTACTATTGCATGTTTTTTTTTTTCCATCTGCACGCTTTCTTCTGCTAACACAGACTGTGATTTTGTTGGGAAAAAATATTTTACCATTCCTCGCAGTGGAGATGTAAAGTATGATTTAGCTTTTTTTCCCCAACGCCCCGTATCTACCACAGGTGTGTCTATAGTTGGTTTTATTTTAATGTTTTTTTTTTTAAATTATTTTTATCTAAGTTTATGTCCTTTATAATTAAAAATGGTGACAAACAAATTGTTGAGGATGTTTTTTCAAATTGAAAATTTGTAAAATATATTTTTTAGGTCTTTCAAGTCATAAGCCAGGCAACAAACCTCCACCACCTGTCAGACGTACTATGTCAGTTTCTGGAGCTCCTACACATTTGATTCCTTCACCTTCTAAACAGCTATCATTAGACAGCCCTGATGAAAGTCCTTATGCTGAGCTACAGTACATTCAACAAAGTATTCAAAAGAATGTGAAGCAAGAATCTTGTCACATAGATAATGCTAATTCAAAAGTTCCACCACCTCCTATACATCCACCAAGTTTAGATAGTGGAGCATGTTACAGCCAGACTGGAAGTGGTGGAGCATACAAGTCTCCACCTGCTGTTCACCAGAAGCCTAATAAAATGTTGTGGCATCCTACAGATGTTACTCAACAGGGCAGTCACAGACAGCATGTTGATCATGGGAGTCACAGACAGCATGTTGATCATGGGAGTCACAGACAGCATGTTGATCATGGGAGTCACAGACAGCATGTTGATCATGGGAGTCACAGACAGCATGTTGATCATGGGAGTCACAGACAGCATGTTGATCATGGGAGTCACAGACAGCATGTTGATCATGGGAGTCACAGACAGCATTTTGCCGAAAGTAATTTCTACTCAGATAAGAGTTCTTTACAGTTAACCTCTTCAGAAGATGATTTACCCTTGCCACCAACTGTTGAAGAATTGCAAGAAATGGAAAGAATCTACAGCCGACCCCAGACAGCTGTTTCTTACCCAAAAGTTGAAGACCCCCAGGCATCCTTGCTGTTAGAACTCAAACACAGAGTTTCCATTGATGATGGCACCAGCTAAATAATGACAACCAAATATTTGAATATTTGAGAGTGGATGCAAGTAATTATTCATATGATTACTTGTAGGCTTTAAAGAAATGCACACTTAATGTTTTTATTTCAATGGCTTTGAAAAATAAAATAAGAAGAGTGATAAAACATAGGTCTACTAACACTTGTTCTAATGTGTTGGTTTTCAAAATCAACATTATAATAAGTATTAGCAGAAACAATTCATATAATTTCTTTACTCAAAAAAAAAAAAAGGTTGCTAAGTTTTTCTAGAAAACATAACCATGAAATGAGACCGGTTATTTATATGAAAACACTCAGAATTTTATCCCTACTTTGTTCTTGATTACCTAGGTTTTTTTTCTCTTGTTAAATAGCCTAATACTATGTAAATAATGTTTAAGTTATTTCATTGTGACTAAATCCTGAATACAGTGTTGCTTAAAGAACAATTGTAAGACTATTCAGCATTGTTAATATGATAGTTTTTTGAAATCCATTGTCTAATTTTGTTGTATTTTAGTCACACTCCCATGGTTTTTCTATTATTTTAGTAGGAAGCTTGAGTTGTCTCCACAGAATATTGACATGATCAGAGAAATTATCTAGTTGGCTTCAAGATTGTCTTATTCAAGTTTGATGTGTCCAAGGTAAAGCGCTAATGGATCTGGATAAAGAAAATTCAGACCGAGCATGGCCAACTGAATCAAGCGCCTGTCATTTCAGATTGCTGATGATTCATCTGAAGGTGGTCTACCACTGTACATAAAAAGTTGTTTAGGTCTAGTCAAACAGATTGCTCACCATTGCCTAGTGTAGAAATGCTGTACATAAGCTTGTAGCACAAACATCTTGTATTTATACACAAGCACCGGCTGCTTTCATTTTGATATTAGTTTGAGACTAATTGGCTTGCTTTTTAGAGAACATTGTCCAGAAGTGTGGCTTATAACTTGAATATCCTTGTAATTTTGCTGAGTAGATAATTCAAATTTGCCATTAAATTGTGTAGGGTACTGACATTTGGATGTCGGTCATTCAAAATTACGTATTTATTTGTGCACATTTTTGTGGTGCAATTTTTAAACCTCCAACCTAACAGTGTTACTAAGTATGTAATTACAAAGGGTTGGATATATTCCAGCCTACAGCAACTTTAAAACCAATGTATTTGTGCTTAACTGTTGGTTATCAAATATTGGGGGGGGGGGGGGAGGGAGAGAGAGAAGAGTTCATAATGGTTTTTATATTCTATCACTGCTAGGATTGACAGCATTTATTTGTAAATCCCTTATTTTACACGTGTGACACTTGTAATGTATGAATGCCTGAGGATTTTTATTTATTGATTGCCATTTCTGTTACCCACACTGTACTCTTTCATTTTGACAATAAAAATATTGCATGAACAGGTCTCATGTTTTATTTACTCAGTCTACTCATTCACTTGATCTCCAGAGAACACATTTTTTTCTCATATAAAACAAGTGCATCATTTGCTTTTTGCACTTTTCTTAATAAATAAAAACCCAAGGGAAAAAAGTTCACAAATATAATAATTAGAACTGTTATTTGAATTGATAGTCAGAAAAGTGCAAGGTTCACAATCTGACAAAAATGAGCTCAAAAATGTTACAAAAAACAACCTACACTAGGGATGACTACATCTTAATATTGAGTAACCATAGCTCTAAAGTACATACACTGCCCAGTATTGGCTGGAAAAATGAAAATGCTAACCCAACAGAGCTAGGTGGACTCTGATTTGAACTCAAGGTTAGTAGCTTAACGCTCTACCACTTAAGTCACGCCATAGTGTACCTTAGATTATAAATATTTATACATAACTTGTTTGACAATAATTTTTACCTACACTATTTTAAGTCCATTACAAATATTTCATTTTTGTAAAGTATAAAATAAGAAATCAGTGACCACCATAGAAGCTCAATATCAAACTTTTAATTGTAAATACAACTGCACTGACCAGTAATATATATAAAGTGGTCCCTTGACAAACAATAGCCTTAATTTACAAATAATCATTTATAAATTTGGTTTTACAAGTCTATTGTTAAGCAGAGAATTCAAAAGTGATTGCTAAAAAAAATATGTAATTAACTAATAAAGCATGGGAATAATTAATTAGCTCAAATTATCTACATTATTTATTGGTGAAAATATCACCACAATGGCCACTGTAACACAATGGATTCAAATCACCTTTTGCCAGTGTAAAACAACTGTGTCAACTTTTGGACACTGCAACACAACCTATGGCAGAAACCTGCTGGTACAGGTAAATGTACTGCTCAGCTCTTTTTGTTTTTTGTTTCAAAAATCTCTCACAGAACATTTCTTTACTCATGTCAGCGCCAAATTCAGGATAAAACTGAAGGAAATTCAGGACAAAATCAAAACAGTTCCATTCCATTTCGTTGTACCTGGAAGACGAAAATCAAAACAATTTCAATTGCCTGTCTGTTATCAGTGAAAAGTAACACATGTGCCAGTGGTATATTATGAAGTGTAAGTGCATCACTTCTTCCTTGCCTAAGTTTTCCTAAATTTTCTTGTTAATATTTTTACAAGCTTTTATTTAACTTGCTTCTTCAAAGTTGTTCTATCTACCCTGCTTTTGTCATTTTGAAACATGGGTTGAAACAGTCGAGCCAAATTTCAATCACTTCTTACAGACCAATGTCTTTAAACCTTTGCACGTGGGTCAGGACCCGAAGACAATGCAATCTAACATCAAATTTGATTTCATTTGAAGCGTAAATATTTTTAAAGCTTTTATTTAACTTCTTCCTCTGTCATCAGTCTGTTTGTCATCATAGATCGAAACAAGCAAGCTAAATTTCGGGCACTTCTAACAGACAGACTTGTTTCACAGTTGGCACATGAGGTCAAGACTTGAAGACAATGCAATATGACGTAAATTGACTTACTTGAATGTCTTATTAATTTTTTATGAATTAATTAAAATTTTCTGAAATTAGTAGGTTGCCTCTACTACTCTTTGCGCACTTATTGTACACACATTATCATGTTCATTTCGAGTGCAATATTTTTTAGGACATGAAACTCTATTGTAAAAAAAATTTTAAAGTAGGCCTACTGAAAAAATTTGCATAAAAACGTTTTTAGTTGCAAGCTTTTATGTAATACATGGTTTTCTTTAATTTAAATATAATACCCTACTATTTAAATTGCTATGATTTAAATAGTAATGTATCATGAAAAAGGCCTCCAAGCCTACTGTTGTTTCCGTTATTGTATTATGCAAAGAGGCCGCCGTGCCTACTGTTGTTACCGTTATTGAATAAATTGAATCATATATTTTCTTCTTTTAGTGCATATTACATTTTTTGTCATAATCTTTATATTATTCCATAAAATTATTAGAATGCCTAGGCAAAGTATAGATAATATAAATAATCAGCCAACTCAATGTGAGCATTACATAGAACTCATGATTTATAACAAAAGGCCTTTCTTATATGATATGTGAGAAACATAACTTTTTAACTATTAGGTGGTAGTTGTGTTATTTTTTAACACGGTAACAGTTAAAAGCCCCCACCCCCAAAATGGTATATGGTAGGGGGGGGGGGGGGCACTTTTTACCCTTCACATGATTAATTGATACAAACCAAAATAAATTACTATCTTACTTGAATCCCAGCCATAAATCTGACTGTCCACAAGTATGCTGTAACATTGTATTCCCATAGCACAGGATCCATGCAAGTGTTTGAAATAACAACCAAACACTCAGGCCAGATTGATCTCTGATGTAACCCTTTTTCATCATAGTCGTAAACATAACCTAAGAATAAGCAAACATGGTACATGAAAACCTCAGTATTTACTTGCATTAAACTGACTAAATGTATATTTGTATACTATACCATACTAGCTGTGTGGTTATGCTAGACATGTAGCAGGATTTGACATAAAAAATGTTTTTAAAAAAATGCTAATGACAAAAACTAAATAAACAACAAAATAAACATACATCAATTTTACATAATTATTGAAAAACAAAAGGATAGATTTTTAATCACAATAGATGTTCTATATAAAGTCACATCATCAAATTCAACATCTAAAATTAAATGGACTAATTTGACCAGGGGATTCAAAGTTTTAGTTTCATTCATCCAAGCGGCAAAAGGTAAGTGCTATAACATGGGAAAAGAAAATAGTGTCTGACTGAAATTTTGAAATTAGTTTTACAAGATAACATTATATCCTTTCCACATGCAGATATTGGTCTCTCTGCATTTAGTATATTTTGTGTACAAGTTTGAATAATATGTTATTTAAAATCAAATTTTTTTCTGTAAAATATTGTATTCACATTTTATAAATATAAAAATTGAAGTAATGGATTGCTTCTTCTTCGTTCTTATTTTTAGTGTTGGAAGGGATCTCCTCCAACAGAATTAAGTATAAGTGTCAACTAGTTATTCGCCATTGAAGGCATTGACTCTGATTTTAGCCTGCTTTTCTTTTTGAATTTCCATAGCCTTTGTAAAACCAAGAACAAACTACAAGGCGGCAGTTGTTTGATTTTGGAGTTGTCTCTCCTAGAAGAATGACTGTCCCCAGCTAACGAGCCTCATCTGCCAGAGAGTAACGGATTTGACATTTACATTTTTAATGTTTACTTTAAACTTTCAAGTATTGTTGGCACTAGAGGCTCTAAATCCATTCCTGTGTTGGATTAAGTTCTTTAACTTTGACTCACTTTGAGGCTGAAATTTCATATTTTGAGCATAACTAGTAAGAAGAGGTAGAAGTCACATCGTCCCATAATCTAATAGGTATCTCAATATAATTTATACAATTTATGTGTTTCTCTTTTTAGACGGTAAAAAAAAAATCACATAAGATTAAGAGAATGAACTGTGATTGACCTTGGCTGTCTGTGACTCCAATATGAAGATTACAAGTTCTGGAGTATCCCCTAAGATTAAAAAATAGCTGGTTAATGATTATCTTAATTCATTTGTGACAACAGTATTTATCTTGGTACTACTGGGTTGATTTTGCTCTGTTTTGAACTATCAAGTGTTCTTGTTAATTTTTTTTTACAACACACATCACCACTGAAACAACATAAGCCAAAAGTCCCAACCTGTAGACATTAGAAGACAAAATGTCTCTGTAAGTTAAATACACTTAAACCTTATGTTCAATTCTAAAATGTAAAAATAAGGTTTCTATAGCTTAGGGTATCTTTGCCCTCAGGTAAAAAAAAATAAAAC